TGCCCCTTCCACTGATCCAGTACTTTATCATGCACTCTAAGAGGTTCTAAATCTCCTATTACCAGAACTACAGAAATAGTATAGTGGCTACAATCTTTGCTTAGCGTAGAGAAGGTTGCCAATATAAAACCCAGTAGTACATAGTGTGTGTGTGTGGGGGGGGGGGGGTTTAATATTATTTTTCTTTTCTAATTTTCCAGCTGGCCTTTTGTTAAATAAGCGATTTACCATTTTACTGTTTTTCCAGTTACCTGAAGTGGAAAAATTTCACCACCACTCCCAAATTGCCCAAATAACCTATGGGTTGTTTTCTTCTTCTTCCTCATCTAGATGGGGATCAGGATCATATACTGGCTATTTCCTTTAGTCTGTGCAGCCCATGGCATAAACGATCTCTCCCTGGGTGCAGTTTCCTTACTTTTTTTCACTGACTTCATCCTATTTTGATGCTATACCATTCCCATTGTTCCCACCATTTTTTGTCACAGATTATTTCTGGATGGCACAAATACAAGCAGGGAAGTGAGCAGGGTTGTGTTTTACCCATGTAGGGACATCTTTATAGCTGAATAATTACAAAAGCAAAACTTTGTTCTTGCAGGCAATAAACTAATCCCCAGACTTATAACTCTTATCCTGTTCACTTATTCACAGAGTGCTGACATGCATTTTCTTTAGCTCTGCATATGGAGTCTCTTATTTTCCCATCTTTCAGTTTGGGAAGACAATGATCTCTCTGTGAAGCAGGCTGTTTCACAGTCCTTGCAGAATGGGTGGCTGTCTCTTTAAATGCTGCTGAGTTCTCCTCAGCTGCCCTGTTAGCTTTCATCTTCACTCTCCTCTTTTCCTGCAGCCCCTTCCCCTCCCATCCTTTGCCCTCAATCTTCCCACAGATTTATTTTTTGGCTGAGTCTGCTGGATGCTTTTGTCAATTGTCACTTTTTTATTCTGTACTCCACTTAGCCAGGCTACTTATAGCAGCCTCTTCTTTTTTCCTTCTAGATCCCTCAAGATTCAAGCTGTTCCTCACTGTCTCTCACTGTCTTCTTCCCACAGACTCAGTAACCTCCAAATACGCCCCCCACATAGCATGCGCCAACAGCAGCTCCCACTCTCTGCTTCTGTTCGTGGGCCTTTTATCATTTGTTTGGCTGGCTGGGAGGCGCAGAAGAGACAGCGATTTGTAGTGCCACTAGAAAGTTTGTGTAGCTTACTAAAGGGGAAGGAAAGATTTGTTCCAGAATCTCCACATCAACTTCCAAATAAAAGAAACAGAAGGTGGGGAGTGGGGGAAGGATTGTCCTCTCCCAACCTTTCACAGTCATACTTCCCTAGAAAAATAAATAGGAAGGAAGGCTTTCCATCTTCCGTACCCGTTTTATGCAACCGTCCTCCCACATAAATGACAATTTGTTTCAGGAAGTCTTCTATTTCTATAGAATTAAGTAAGTATACTAGCCACCAGTTTATGATTTGTGTTTTCTTTGTGGTGCTAAGTCTCATTTTCTCTATTTCTTTGTTTAAGTTTTAGAACTGAGTGCTTAAACCTTAACTTTAAACCCGGAATCACTTTCTGTGAGATGGACAGCTATATAAATGTGACAAATAAATAAATATAAATAAATAAATAAACCTTCATCCATTCTTAAAGGTGGGTTCATGAAATTATAATATATCTGTAGAATCTGCTTGTAATCATCCATCCATCCATCCATCCATCCATCCATCCATCCATCCATCCCTGGGTCAGCTCTGTAATTTGTTTTTTTCCAGTCCTGAATGCTTGTATTTTAACATTTAAAATAACAATGATTTCTTACATCTTAAAGTTCCTTTTTTCTTAAATACAGGTAGTCCCTGAGTTAAGAACAGATGACCTATAATTAAGAATGGAGCCTATTGTAGCAAAATTCAAGTTAAATACCCAATGATTTGAGTTAAATACAACAATGGTTCAAGGTCATTACACAATAGTACTTATACAGCATTATACAATAATACTGTTCCGGCTTACATACAAATTCAACTTAAGGACAGACCTTGGGAATGGAACTCGTTCTTAAACTGGGGACTACCAATAGAGGTTGAATTTTATCTTGTGAGAGAGGTTTATTTCCCATTGGGAGATCAGTACTGTACCCACACACCTCTATGTTTCTTGACTAGAGATTACACTACTGAAATTATTTCACTTTTTAAAATTTTGTCCTTTGAATTGCCTAAAAACCAGGGCAAGTTGTGAGAGCTCTGTCTCTCATATACACTGGGTTTAATAAAAGAATGCTAAGTGAGGTATCCTCTAGAAGACAGATAGTGAGAACAGAAACTACCAAGCCCTACCGAAAATCAGGAGGTGAGGCCAAGGTTTGAAGAACCAGAGGGCTTCTGGAAGAAAAGGTTGTGTGTGTCTGTGTCTGGGCCTGTGTGTCTCTGTGTGTTCTTTTCCTCCTTGAGAATAAAATTTAGAACATTAAATGCATTAAAAAAAGAAGCCATTCTCACTTACCAAAGTCTCAATGCTTGTACTCAGTTCTCTAAATTCTCTTGAAGTCTGTTTTTCAAAGCTAGGCTGGAATTGCACATTATTGATTCTAAAGGAAGCATTGTAAAAGAATAACTTCTGATCTGCATGTGAATGGGAAAGAATGAAAACATTATTTATAGTATGGTATCAATTAATTTACAAGAATGTGACACAATTGAGCAATCATTGACAGAGGACATTTTCTAAAAAATTAGAGGTTTTGGAAGATTCATCATCATGTGAAAGACACATTTTAACTCTGAAACAAAGGGCTTTTATATACTTCCCATATTTTATATGGGAAGGAGGCAGGCCAAGCAGCTGGCCTGGAGCATGAATAGTGTCACAAAAAACTGGTCCCAGATAAGTAAAGTCCTTGGGTTCTGGAGCTATTAGATACAGTGTATGTCAAGTGAAAGAAATCACGCTAGTTCAAACAATTTCTCTTCCATGAAGAAATAATCAACTATGTCTTCTCATAGTTTATGGTTGGCAAGTCTCAAGATTTGATTTTGTGATTCACCCGCTTTCTCAGGATCTCCAATTAAAAGTTTAAAATCGTTTGATGAAAGGCCAGAATCAGGAGGTGACTATTTTCTGCTAAGATGAAAATGTTGCAATATACATGTATACTTGTGCATTTGCACACTGATATACACAGAGAGCCTTTTCAGTCAGGTTCCAGTCCTCTAAAACTATGCACCATCAGGTTCTTCCCTTGATTTGTCAAATGCCATCCACTGTCTCACCAATGTCATTGGGCTCTGTCCTTATTCTGCCAGGGATGGCCTTCAAGCAGCTTACTAATTCCATCATCTCATATCCAAGTTTCAAGAGACGTGGCAGCCTTAACAGTGTGTCAGCCCTCCAAGGTAGACCAAACTTGGAAACCAAAGACAGGCAGGCTAAGACTACTTTTATTATAAGATTATAGTAACAGAATCTTACAAGTCTGAATGTTCTTCCTTCCTCCTCCCCCCCCTTTTTTTTTCATGAGAACTAAAGAAGGTCATGTCTGAGACATTTTCTCAAATTACATTTCTGCTCTGGACTCAGATATCTTTTATCTGACAGATGTCTTGGGTGCAGCTCTTGTTCTGTTCCTCAAGGCTATTCCTTCTTCCCATTAATGCTACATATGGCAGTATATAACAGGGTCATCCTCTGCCTTGGATGATACACTAATACAGAGATCAGAGGCAGGAAAGCATTGCCAATCCAAAATGAATATGTCATGTTGTTTGGCAGATGACCTTGCTTGAAATAGTCCAGTTGGAGTAAAAGTGGCTACAAATCCTTGAGGAAAGAATTACACTACTCTAACTTGAATACATAAATAATTTCTTTCTGCTTGCTGAAAGATTTTAAAACACAAAGCCATTCAAATCATATGGACTGAATAATTAATACACTTACCATATATCAAAAAATACACGAGCAAGCCAATGGCAATGGCTAAGACCAGCAATGTTGCTAGCACAATCAAAGCAATCATCCATGGTTCAAGAGGTGTTGTTCTTGACCTAGCCATTCTGAGAAGAGGGGCAAAAATAAGATTTTGTAGGAGACACAGTGAACCTTAAGTAGTACAGTTAATCCTTGCTATAATCTGCTCTCAGACTGCTGTTTACAATATTTATGCACATTAAATGTTTCAGAAATAAATAGATTAACAGTATTGCTGAACTAATAATAAATTAATTGCATTAATCTTAATTCATTATTTATTTATTATATCAATTTATATAGCCAACCATCTCACAATTGCATCTCTGGGAGGCACACATTGGATTAAAACCAAACAAAGCTTGATAAGAAAAATAAGAAAAGTAATGGTGATTGAAAACAAACCCAACTCTAATCATAAAAAAGACAACCTGCCAGTGAGGGGCTCATCTAACCTCCAGACCCCGTGCCCAAGGGAACATCCAAGTCTTCAGGGACTCCTGAAATGCTGGGGCTCCATAAATTTCAGGGGTATGGTGTTCCAGAGAGCAGGTTCTGCAGCAGAGAAGCCATACTTCCTGGGTCCAGTCAGATGGTAGTGTTTAATAAATGGAATCCAGAGCATGTCTTCTCTGTTGGGTCTAGTGTGATGGGCAGAAACAACTGGAGACAGGCAGTTTCACAAATAATTACCTACTGTGGCAGTATGCTCTTTTCACCACCAGACCAAGGCTGCCTTTGTAAATTGTAAATATAGAACTCATAACCTAGGCAGTACACTATAGAGACATTTGTCTATTTAACTTAGTTCCCATATTCTGCAAAGCCACATTAGATATTATTCAACATACGTACAATTAACACTCGTCTAAAAGGGAAAGCTTGACCAAGTCCACTGGTCCTCTTCTGGTCATCTGTATGCAGAGGGTCCTGCACTACAAATACAGGCATGCCCAGCACAAGTGATGAAAGCCAGCCATGCTTTATTTTTGATGTTTTGCCATACACAGTGGGCATTAGCTTTCTGGTGTCTTGAATATTCATTCTGAACAATAAGATCAACATTAATGCTCAAAATGGGGTGGGAAACCTGCAGCCCTCAGCTACATCCTGGATTTGGAGATCCACCACCCTGGATGTGCTTCCTCTTCCAGAATGACTGTATAATGCTTCAAATTCCATTCAGATTTGACTCTGGTCCTGGCTCCAGCTCTATTCTCCATAAAGTATGCCTCACACTAATTTTTCCTAAGGAAGAACTCCCTGATCTGGTTTAGAGTGCTCACAGTTTTTCACATAGATTATATTGCTATAATCCTTGCAAGAACTTGTAAATATTATTATCTCCATATTATGTACAGGATCTGAGAGAATTTTTTGGCTAAGACCACCAAATAAATTCATGATAGACCATAGAGGCTCTTCTTCATGGTTCCGTTAATGTGGCTTCCTCTAGTCCTTGAGTCTGAAGGATCTCTCCCACATCATCCTGATCCACCTTCCACCCCACCAAACTGTCATTCCAAATTCCAAATATCTTGAATGAATACATGCTCCAGGGGAGTATCAGTGCTTTTAGTAATGGCCATAGGTAGCAGCAGCCATATATATCCCATGGAGTACACAAATGGCATTATAGCAATGCTTCCCTCCCCAAGTAATAAACACAGTAGAACCAAAGTCATGACAACCACCTTGTCACCAGAAGGAGGCAAGGAGTATGCCTGAAGCAGCAAGCAGTCTTAGCCAGCCAATATTGCATGTGAACTGGTAAAGCCTATATGTAAACAGCTCCTCACATGTTATAGTTAACGCATTTGACATGTGAGAGCAATGCATGGAAGACAAGGCAGCTCTGTTCCTTAATATTCATGAGGACATTTCTCCCCATGATTTAATACATGAAGAGGGATTAAGCAATCTTTGGACCTGGAGCACCACATCCTACTATTTCTCTACTATTTGCTCCCAGGGATACAGCAAATTCTAGTACTATTAAACCATCCCCACTGGAAAATTCAGCTTAAGGGTAACCGTCTGGGGAAAAAAGCTCTAAGTGGCTCAGAGGGTTTCAGGATTGTCAGTGTCTTGGTCCAGCATTATTGCCCCTCCTTCTCTGACTCTGAAAGAGGAGAATCAGCATATATGTATATAGACAGCTTAATTAATATAGTTCATGTCAGTGCCTAGCTTAATGGTTAGGCACTTTCAGAAGGTACAAAAATTCTATCTCAGGCATTTGAATGAGCTGGTCATGCACCCATGTCATCAACTGAGGCAACCTTACTCAAGTGATGAGTGTAGCATGTGTAAACGAGCCTACTGAAAAGTCACTACTCTACTCAGACAGCACACCATGAAGACCAGAGCCAGCTGTACCATTATGCAAAGTGAAGCAACAGGTGCTGAAGAGAGTGGTAGAATAGGATGGACAACCATGATGCATGCTTTTCTGGATCTGGCCTCTGTGCTCTCATCTAGAGTACTGTATCCAGGTGCAGTCCAGAACATTCCCAGTGTGAAATCTGTTACCTTCTAAGTCTGTTCACTTCTAAATGTAGATACCGGATGGCACTATTTTGTCCTTTGCCTCAGGCAATAAAATGTCACAGGCTAGTTCTGATGAGGGCTGTGGAATTCTGTACAGAGGAAATTGCTGATGTCCATTAGAAAGCATATTAAACTTTATGCTGGATTATAATACTAACAGCTGGCACTGAGCGAACTTGAATGAGAGCAACTTTGACTATCAAATTATATTTTATGTATGCAAAGGATTACAAATCTATTTGGAGACTCATAACTATCATGATTGAGCAGCAGTAAATAAACCCTTGGTGTATGCCTGCCCACACCATCTCACAAGACGTTGGCTTTAATTACAAGAAACATGTCTCCCGGAAAAATGGTTAGACCTATGGGTGAAATATTGCAATGGAGACAGCATGTTATCCAGTTTGGGATACTATTTTCTTCAGCCAAGTTTGTAATGTAAGTCCAGATAAAAAAAAAAGCTGAAATTCTTGTTCTTCATACTCAAAATCACTCAGAATCACAGAATTATGGAGCTGGAAAGGACCCTACGGATCACTTAGTCCAACCCTCTGCAATGTGGAGGAAAACCAGTTAAAACATTCCCAAGAGCTGACTGTCCAGCCTCTCCTTAAAAACCCCCAGAGATGGAGAATCCACAACTTCCATAGATACATATTTAACATCTAAATAGCTGCATATTTTACCCATTATTTTTGGTCCTAGTTTCTATGGCAATGGAAAATAGTTTCTGAACATCTTCTTTATGGCAACCTTTTATGTACCTGAACATGGACACCACGTCTACCCTCAGTCTTTTATCCAGACTGAACATTCCAAGTTCCTTCAGCCAATCCTGAAAGGGCATATGTCATCCTCAAGTCCCCAATCATCTTTGCTGCCTTCTCCTGAACCTGTTCAGGAGATGTCAATATCCTTCTGGAAATGTGGTGCCCTGAATCATACACAGCATTCCAGTGCTGTGGTCTCATCAGTGCAGAGTGAGGGAAATAAGGATTTCATGCATCTTTGACATAGTGCTTCTTCTAATGCATCCCAGAACTGTATTAGCCCTTCTAGCAACTGGTTCACACTGCTGGCTTCTTGTCAAAGACTAAAAATCATCAGCATTTTGTTTATTAATTTACAAATGATTGCTCACAACTTTGTAATGAGAAACTTGTCAATTTGTAATGCAAATTCCCTATTATGTTCAAACAGCTTAAATAATCTGAGTTGTTTCTCCATTCAACATGTGTCACAATGGTAAACAAATTAATCTGTTTGATTTTAGTCAGCAAATTAAGTTTATAAATTAAATATGTGGTGCCAGAATTCTTGAGATATTTGATATGGTTCATTTACAAATTTATAAACTGAGACTTGCTTTACTGTAGTTTACATACAAAAATACCCCTTCATGGATCACTGCCTTGTCGTGGCGAAGGGGCTTGCGTAACTCAGTGAAGCCATGAGCTATACCGTGCAGGGCCACCCAAGACGGACAGG